CTTAGTAATTAGATATAGAAAGTTGTTAGGGAGAGTATTATAAATAGAGTGAGGGTGTAAGAATGAAGGTATCCAATTAGTGAGTATGGTTTTGGTTTTAAGGGTAATTATGGTTTCGGGTTCTATCAGGTAGCTAATTTTACCAAAAAGACTCCAGAGGCGTCTAAGGTCCATAAAATTGAATCTATGTCTTCATTTGGGTGAATATCATTAGTAACATCGTGAAATTTAGCCATTTTTCCATTTTTCTGTCTAATAGACCTCTTCTGAAATGTATATCTCAAGTCTTATTAGAGCAGAGCAGCAATCACTAAGAAAGAACCTGGAGTGTCTTATGATTTGCTCTCTTAAGACACCTTTATGCGTAATAAGAAAAATCAATGTTCCGCACTATCTTAGTTATGTTTGAATCAGTTCATTTGGAGGCTATTTACTTTAATTATTCATGCTATATAATAATGCCTCAAATATTCATAGAGCACGTGTCTTTGTTTTCAGGGGAACAGACTGAAAGAGACAGAGAAGGTAGTATTAGTAGTGATAGTGAAGATTTGGAGACTGCAAATAATGTTGTCCATGTCAAGTCTCAACACTCCAACAAAGATCAAAGTTCTCTAGAGGATTCGGAGAAAGAAGACATCTCCTCAGAGGTTGATTTTGAAGGAGAAGCAGAAATTGCAAGGAAAGTTCTTGAAAATTTAATTACATCTTCGGCTAAAGAGGTTCTTCCTTCTCTCGTTGATGGAAACCCACCATCTAAAGTGAACAAGGAGCCAGATTTAGATTCACCCAAGAAGTCATCTGATATGTCTGACAAAGTAACAGATGGGCCTGGAAAGTTGAGTGATAGCAAAACATCTATTCTTAAGCAAACAGATGAAGAAGATGATTTGAAGAGAACAGTTTTCATAGGCAATCTTCCTTTTGACATTGATAATGAAGAAGTGAAACAACGGTTTTCTGGATTTGGTGAAGTACTATCCTTTGTGCCAGTCCTTCATCAAGTTACAAAGTACGGTTTTTATTTCCTTCTATTTGTTTACTAACATGAGCCTCTGTAGTTTTTTTTTTTTTACTCCCTTCTTGTGGCAGGCGACCTAGAGGCACTGGTTTTCTTAAGTTTAAAACAGTCGAAGCTGCTACTGCTGCTGTTTCTTCTGCAAATGTTGCATCTGGCGTGGGAATATTTCTGAAAGGCAGGCAACTGAAAGTATTGAACGCCCTGGATAAGAAATCAGCTCATGAAAAGGAATTGGAGAAGTCCAAAAATGACAATCAGGACCACCGGAATCTTTACCTTGCACAGGTGTTTTTTCCTTCTTTGATACTTAAAATTTGTGTTATTTTTCCCTATAACCAAAGATTTCCAGTTTTTGTTATTTTTATTTCATATTATGGTCGGATCTTCTTTCTATTCAATATCATGGACCCAAACATTTTACAGGAAGGTATTATTCTTGAGGGAACTCCAGCTGCCGAGGGAGTTTCTGCTAGTGACATGGAGAAACGTCAAAGGTACCGTATTCTTTCTATATTAGCTTCTGCAGTGACAGACAGTGTCTCTAATAGCTGACTCTAGAATTTGTATCTTGAAAAATTGAAAGTGTCTGAAAATGATTGTAGAGGTTCTTGGAAAGTGTCTGAATATTAGAAGAGCATGTGTTCTTTATTCTTCGTATTCTATTAAAAACTTTTGGGGGCTGGGAAGGAAAAAACTGATGGAAGGACTTCAGTTATTAGTGATTCATTCAGAATTATTGTTGGGTTGCACATGGTTTTTCCTCATAAGTTTAGGAAGGTTTTTGTCCAAAAACCGCTTTTGATTCCTATATCGAACCAACCAAAAGAATAAAACTGGGGGTGGGGGGTGAGAACCAAAAGGGAGTCAACATGAAGTGGAGGATAGAGGACCATAAGAAGGCCTTCACTTACCCCAACAATAAAAAGGATATAATTACCGTAGGGCTCTTAGACTTGGCTCTGAAAAGAAGCTTTCTAGCTCTGCCCAGAACGCATCTGATCTCTTCTAATGTCGTTGAAAATGAATCCATTCTTAAATTATCAAATCTCTTAGTATATTATTAGCCAATGCGTTCCTCCTATAACCTATGAGTTTCTACCTGTCAGGAGAATGAGTGTGATGTGGTCAAGAAAATTCACAAATGAATTTAAGGACAACAAATTCAGAGGTTTGGAGGATGTTTGGTTCTTGGCTAGATTTTTGTCTTCCAACTGGCGTCTCTTTTGTATGTTCTTGGTAGATTCACATCCCTTTTTTTCTTAAATGTTTTTCCATTCCTAAAAATTTCTCTGAAAAGAGGACAACCGAGGTTAGGACTTCCATTTTAGAGGAGGCCTCTTTTGGACCTTTTTAGGCTGAGAAAATCATACTTAATGTAGAGTATTTAGAAGTACAAAACCTAGAACTTAGATTGGACTTGTAGTGTTACATTGGACTTATATCAAGGCTGTTTAGTTTATGTCAAACTGTTTTTATTTGTATGATTATTTATTCTTTGTTCCCTTTAAAAAGCCCAAAAACCCCAACTTTTCTATTTTTTGTCTAATCGAATAGCGTTTTTCTTCACCCGTCACATGTGCAGGCTGGAAAAGAAAAGAACGACTAAGCTACAATCTCCAAATTTTCATGTTTCAAGGACTAGGCTTGTGATACACAATTTACCAAAATCAATGAAAGAGAAAGAACTTAAAAAGCTTTGCATTGAAGCTGTTACCTCGCGAGCTACAAAGCAGAAACCTGTGATTCGCCAGGTTTGTTGGCCTTCCAGAATAAAGGAAATCCACTAGATGTTATTGATATATTTTTTTCCTACTCTTTTCTTTTTTTTGTAGATTAAATTCTTAAAGGATGTGAAGAAAGGCAAGGTGCTGACAAAAAATCACTCTTGTGGAGTTGCTTTTGTTGAGTTTTCCGAGCATCAGCATGCCCTTGTAGCCCTGAGAGTTCTCAACAACAATCCAGGTAGTGATTCTTTTCGTCCAATAATCCGTAGTTCTAAATACGCGTAAAATTACTGTGTGGCAGCCCTTGAAAGTGAATGGTGGGTGGTTCTTTGAACACTAGATCTGCCCTGTAGTTGTAATACGAGCGGAAGCATAGTTTGTCCCTAATCCTATTCTAAGATGAATATATGGTTTCTTGTAGAAACGTTTGGTACCGCACGTCGCCCGATTGTAGAGTTCGCTATTGACAATGTTCAGACGTTGAAGCTGCGTAACGCAAAGTTACGAGCTTGGTCTCAGGATAATACTACAAATTTTCCGAAAGCTCTGCAGCGGAATGCTGATACAAATGCTGCGGATATCCTAAACAAAAAGAATTCCAGAAAAAGGAAAGCAACAGGTGATGATAGGCCAGTGAAGGAGCTACATCGAAACGAAGATGAAAATTCTCGTGATGTGGTGATGGAGGGAAGTAGAGCTACAAAAAAGCAGAAAAAACGTCCAGAAGGTGGTAATACAAACGAGCCGTCGAAACAAAAACCCAAACCCAAAGGACGAAGATTGATGCCTGAAAAATCAAGCAAGAAATCACCATCCTTGGATACTGGGAAAGTAAAAGCTTCTCAGGAAGCTGATGTTCATCACAAAAAGAAGGTACAACATCAACCTCAACAAGAACAGCAGAGGAAGAGGCCGAAAAAGAACAAGGATCCGATAGGACAAGATACCGTCGATAAACTCGACATGCTCATCGAACAATATAGATCCAAGTTCTCGCATCAGGGTTCGGAAAATAGAGGCTCAAAACAGGTTAGAAAATGGTTCCAATCATAAGTTACAAAATTTTGCAGGCTAGGATTGTTCCATTGAATCACACTTCTTATTTGTTTTTGTTTTTCTATTGCTCTGAAACCTGTCTGGACAAGACGGATGAGATTATACTTGCATGGGAAGTGTAACATATAGTATTATTCAGTTCTTTTTTTTTTTTTTGTATCGAAATATTTAACTGTCTTTTCTTTCAAATTACAGGAATGATTTTACCCAATACAAGAGGGTTATATATTTTTTTTTTAATGGTTAAACAAGTTCGAGACTAAATAGATATAATATTGAGATTTGTGATTTAACCAATATTAAAGATTGAGCTTAAACATTCTCAAAAAAAAAGAAAAAGTTTCATTCTACTACTTCAAAGAAAAAATTAAATATTTAATTTCATATAAAATTTAAAGGTTAAGAAAACAATAAATAATAAATAATTAACAAACATATTTTTTTTTCACTTAAGAAAAAAGAAAACAATAAATAAAAATAATTATCAAACACAATTTTATTTTCGTTGATTAAAAAGAAATGAAACGAGAAAAAAAACACTAACAAGAAATAAATAGAAACGTTCATAAATTAGCGGAGATTTTCTGAAAATACACAATCTTTCTCAAAATAAGTAAATACACAATCTGAAAAAAAAAAACAGTTAGATTATAATATTAAAGTGAAAAAAAAACATAAGAAAACAAAAAAGAATTAATTTTCCACCAATCACTGTTACAAGATCTGGCCTCATTTTTTCGAAGTAAAAGTTTGGGTTTGGCATATGCCGCCACGTGACAACCAAATCCACAGCTCCGCCGGAGATTTTCCCAAATTTTCTCCACAGAAGCAGCAGGTAACGGCGGCCACCGCCACCACCGCCACCACCAACCCCAAATTTTCCGGCAAAAAACTACTCTTCTGCTAAGAGTTTTACTTTCTTTTTGCATTAATCTCTGCAAAACTTCTCTGGATTTTGCATGTTCTCTCGAAATCGTTCTAGGGCACGCTTTTGATGGCCAAACCCAAGGCTCCGAGGCAAACCCTAGATTCCTACACTGTCAAACGCATCAACAAAACCATTAGAGGTAAACAAACTACTTCTCATCATCTCTCCATTCTTCAAAGCCTCTTCTTCTTCTTCTTCTTCTTCCGTCGGTCGTCTGTATCTGATCTTGAGAAATTCTTCGTAGCCGGTGATTGCGTGCTTATGAGGCCTTCCGAGCCCTCGAAGCCTTCGTATGTGGCCAAGGTTGAGAAGATTGAGGCTGACTCTCGTGGGGCTAATGTGAAGGTCCATGTCCGCTGGTATTACCGGCCGGAGGAATCGATTGGTGGTCGGAGACAGTTTCATGGCTCCAAGGAGGTGTTTCTCTCCGACCATTTTGACGTTCAAAGCGCCGACACGATCGAGGGCAAGTGTACGGTTCACACCTTTAAGAGTTATACCAAGCTTGATGCCGTCGGGAATGACGATTATTTTTGCCGTTTCGAGTATAATTCCTCTACTGGAGCTTTCAATCCCGATCGAGTGGCTGTGTAAGTTTCTTTAGCTTTTTAAGTGGTTGTGTTTGCTGGGTTAGATATTCTAGTGATGTGTTTGGCATCAAGTACTTCTGAAATGAGATCGTTCTTACTTGACTTAACATGGGAAGAATTTGGTTTCTGCAGATTTTCATAGTGAATCTTACTGCTTTAGCTGCATTGTCTTTCTAGCGTTGATTTTCATGATTTTCTGTTCGCAACTCTTGTGTAGTTCATGAATTTGAAGCATCAAGGCTCTTTGCATTGATGTTCTAATTGTATTTTCCATTTTTTTGCTTGTCACTTTTTCTTAAAGATTGAAGCTTGTTCGATTCCATTTTTGTATTTACCCTTATCTGCTGTTTTATGTATGTGGTCATATCTCACGTTAGCCATTTAAGCCAATGAATCTCCTTTTTTGCATGGTTTTACCTAATTCTTCTGGTGCAAATTTTCACTCAATTTTTACGTTGCAGGTACTGCAAATGTGAGATGCCTTATAACCCTGACGACCTTATGGTTCAGTGTGAGAGTTGCAGTGATTGGTAAGCTGGGTACTTGTGTTGCTATTGATTCCATTTGCAGCCTTAACACATGCTTATAAAGGTGTTTATTGTTCATAGTGGCTTATGTTCTATAATTTGAGGCATATGGAATCGAAACATAATTTCAGTAAAACAAAATGGTAAAAAAATTAACTGGCAATGTAATAACAAATGCTCTATCTTTCAAATCATTAAAGTAACCTTTCTTAACGTATACTATGAAGAAGAAATTGTAACTGTTAACCCACACAAAATACATGGTTAGACATAACTATGTATTCTTAAAGGAAATTGGTACAATGACTTATGAAGCACTAGCAATCTTGCTTTAATTGAAATTTTGTTGCCAAACCAAGCATAGCTCAAGTGGTTAAGGCATATATCTCTGACGAAAAGGTCATGTTCAAACCCTCACCCCCACAATGTTGTACTCAAAAAAAAAAAAAATTGAAAATTTATTTGTAACTATAATAGTTAATTAAATCTGGAATTTTGTAGAAAATTTTTTAATAGGTTATACTTCATCTGAAACTATAAGCTATAATGAACTTAAGTTAAAATGATTTAGGTTTTATTCAAATCTTATTTTTATCGTAACCTCCAATTGGAGTACTTCACGTCTTCACCCCAACCATTTTGTAACTACACTACTTAACAGCTCTTTCCAAGGTTGAGTTTTTTTTT